GATGACACACTTGTTATTAATCGAGCTCAAAATGCAATCACCAGCTGGGAGAATGACTTGATGGACCCTGTTTTGAGACTCTGATACCATTCTTGGGCCGCGCCTTTAAGGGTCACTTGGAAGACTTTGCACATGAGGTTTTCAGAATTGGTTTGCAGATACATTATGGTTCAGATGGTCACCAGGTGACTGTAGAGGTCAATTGATCCATCATAAGATTGGAAAGTGGGCATTTTGAATTTCAGTGGGAATGTTGCCCCTACGATGTTGGCTGACAGGGGTGAGTTTTCTCTAAGGCCATAATCTCCGACATCTCCTATTTTCTTGCATTCTATAAACAACTCTTTGACTACATTTCTGAGATTAGCATTGTCTGCTGCTTGTTGTGTATGGCTCGAATCCTGGCTGTTAGAAGCAAGCGTGCTTCTTAATAATATATTTTATCATATGTTGTCAATAATAATTGAGCAAAACATCATTAATCCATTAAAGTTGTTTGTAAAAATTAATTAAAACTCTAATACTACGTAGGAAAATATATATATATAGTAAAAATTATTAAAACTCTAATACTCAACGTAGCGAAAATATATATATAATATTATATTATATATATATCAAAGCAATAAAAAAAAAAAAAACATATATCAAAGCATAATCATATTAAACTTAACCAATAAAATTAAAATACTTAAAGATGTTATATTCTTACTATATTTAACATGTAAGTTATTAACATATATCTTATAATTTTTTATTATTTCATCCAATAGAATTTAGATTCAAATAAGAAATTAACATAATTAATCAAAATGAATTAATTTTACCTTTTTATTAACCAATAAAATTTAAATGCTTAATGATATTTTTTTCAATCCATAAACTTAATAGGAATGTTTTAGGAAATCCAAAGTTCATCCATTCGTGTGTGTGTGTGTGTATATATATATATAATATATATATAATTTATTTGTCTATGATATATTAAAATTAATTAAAACTCTAATACTATAAAGGAATAAAAAAACATATATCAAGGCATAATCATATTAAACTTAACTAGTAAAATTAGAATACTTAAAGATATTATACTCTTACTATATTTAACATGTATCTTATCTATCTATCTATCTATTATAAATCTAGAAAAACAGGAGGCTAGAAGCTTACGTGGCATTATTGTAGAGTATTAAAGTGAGTATGTGGCAAAATGTTAATCCATTGAGTTGGAAATAATTTTTACATTTTGAAAAATTATTTTTATTATAGCTAATAGACAACTTAAGTGATATCATTAATAATATCTTCAGTTTTTTAAATAATTAATAAAATTAAAATTAATAAAATTTAAAATAATATCATAATATTTTAAAAATTTTCACATTCTTTTTTAAATAAGTTACAATAATCGTTTTGTCTAATATTATTTCTCTTCCATTTTCCTTTTTTGGCATTTAAATTAATAATATCATTAATATTTTAAAAATTTTCACTTTCTTTTTTAAATAAGTAACAATATCATTAATATTTATTCTCTTCATTTTCTTTTTTGCATTTTTACAAAATTTGTATAGATATCTATCTCAATATAATGAGACCATAAATAAAATCAAATCATACATGCAAGAAAAAAAAAAAGAAAAGAAATATATTCTTTGCAAACAATATAAGACTATTTTCATGGCATTTTATTGATGTGAGCTTGATCAATATAGTGATGGCGATGAAATTACAGTGCGTTTTAGTTTTAATGATCAATTAAGGTGTGATTTTGTTATTTATAAACTATTTTATAATCATTAGATTAAAATTCATTTTCTAATTTCATTATGTGTGATAGAGAAATATTTTATGACTGGATTGATGTTTATGTTCTGTTTAGTGAATGGAGATGACAATACTTCTCAGCCTATTTGAAACCAAGGCAAACTTTAATGATTTTTTTTTATTTTTAATGTTATTGAATTTATGTATTTTATGACTGGATTGATGTTTATGTTTTGTTTAGTGAATGGAGATGACAATACTTCTCAACCTTTTTGAAACCAAGGTAAACTTTAATGATTTTTTTTTTAATTTTTAATGTTATTGAATTTATGTTCGGATTTTAGTTTATTTATTCAAAATGAATTTAAATAACTGATATTTATAAAAATTATTTTACAATCTACTAAAATATTTTTAGAAACTAAAAATTTTAAGCTTAATTATAAACTTCATTATTTATGTATAGATGACAGTACTTCTCAACCTATTTGAAACCAAAACAAATTTTAATGATTTTTTTCTAATTTTTAATGTTATTGAATTTATGTTCAGATTTTAGTTTATTTATTCAAAATAAATTTAAATAACTGATATTTATAAAAATTATTTTACAATCTTTTAAAATATTTTTAGAAACTAAAAATTTTAAGCTTAATTATAAACTTGATTATTTATGTATATATTCATATATTGATCCTTTTGCAAGAATAAGAGAAAAAAATTATTTTAATTTTATTTTCTTTTGGACATTATTAAGTATAATATACTGGATATTCGGATTCTTGAAAACAATTATTTCTTAATAAAAATAGCATTTTTTTGAACATTATATAATATTTATAGGCGAAGCGTGGGAAGATGACTAGTTTAATATATATCTTATAATTTCTTATTATTTTATCCAATATAATTTAGATTCAAATATAGAAAATTAACATGATTAATCAAAATGAATTACTTTTACTTTTTCCAACCAATAAAATTAAAGTGTTCAATGATATTTTTGTCAATTCATAAACTTAGTAGGAGCATTTTAAGAATTCAATATTCGTTCATTCTTACTTTTATATATATTGTAGATTATAAATTTATTTTATTATCTATTAAGTTAAAAAGCAAAGAAATATATAATAAATATAGGAAGTATGTAATATATACTTAACTCTAATATTTAATTTAAAATTTCTAAAGCACAGTATGTAATATATACTTAACTCTAATATTTAATTTAAAATTTCTAAAGCACATCAAGACATAGTCTACTGAAAAGTGCATATTCGATCTGACAATAGATTCAGGTTCGATTTCTCTTCCCCAATACTCAAAACAAAAAAAAAAAATTTAAAACTTCTAAACTGAATAATATTAAAAATATATATAGTAAATAAAGGAATTTTAAATTTTCATGTATAACGTTATTATATAACATTAAAATAATTAAAAATAAAATATATTTATTAGTAAATAGTTAAAATAGTTAAAACGTTAATTAGTTAATAGTAAATAAAGGAATTTTAAATTTTCATGTATAACGTTATTATATAACATTAAAATAATTAAAAATAAAATATATTTATTAGTAAATAGTTAACGTTAATTAGTATCCTATTTATTTGAAGGTTCCTAAATTCAATAAAAAAATATCTATAATCTATACTATATATCAATTTCCTATTTAGAATTAGATTAAACTTTCTAATAGAATTTAGTTTCAAATAGAAAATTAACATAACTAATCAAAATTAAATTATCTTTATTTTCAACCAATAAAATTAAAGTCCTCAATGATATTTTTATCGATCCATAAACTTAATAGGTACATTTTAGAATTTCAATATTCTCCGTTTGTACTTTTATATATAGAAAAAATTATAATCATATCTCTATATTTTGTCAAAAATAATTATTTTACCCTCGTATTTTTTAAACTACATACTGTCATATCATCATATTTTAGGTCCGTTACTTTGCATACCCTTCCGTCTATTTTTTATACTTCTAAATATAAATCAATTTAAATTTAGACGGTCTAAAGAGAGAAATTAAATATGGATAAAAAATATCCTTCCACTTGCTTTTTTCTCCGTTTCGATTTTTTATTTTTTCTTTCTTTTTTTTTCCTCCGTGAAAGTTTTTGTAGCCCAAAAATTAATTTCTTTATAAGTTGTTGGTTAGAAAATGAAAAATCCGGTGAAGGTGTTGATCACTTCTAATGGAGATGAGATCTCACAAAATATGACCTCTATCACTGAATTTAAACTTATTGCTTGTTTGTTTGCTAAGAAAGAAGGAAATGATAAGCAACTCTTGATCACTTCTAATGTCGTTGGCAACACACAATTCTCCCTTTGTTATTTTGTCTTTCAGTTAGGTTGTTGAGATCATTTTATAGCAATTTAAGGCCTCAAAAGTGAAAAAAATGGACGGGAAGGGACGGTGGGTGGGTATTAGTGTACTGAAACATAGGGGTATGCCAGTGTATTTTAAAAAGTAATTATTTTATAAAATATAAAGGTAAAATTATCCTAATTTCAGCGTGAAATCTTTAACCAACTAAACTCTAAACACAAAGAGCAATTGCAACAATGATTATATTTTTTAAAAATTGTTACTTTTACTTTTACTTTTACTTTTAGTATTGGAAGGGTTTATTGAGTATTGAGGAAAGATGTTTGAATATGAATCTATTGTCAAGTCATATATTACACTTATAATTAGATTATGTAAAAATAAAAATTAACAATTTAAAAAGACCAAATACAAGTAATTTATACTCCATTCCTTTTAAAAAGATAGTTTATTTTTTTTTTTAAATTTATTCCAAAATATCGTTCACTTTTTTAGTTAATCTTTAAATAGTCTATCGTACTCTTATTAAATTTTATCTTATTTTTAATAATTTTCATTAATTTTTATTTATTATTTCAGTATAATAATTACTAATTTATCATTTAAGATAGGCATTATAAAAAACTTATATGAACAAAATTATTCTTTTAACTATAATAATTTAATCTTGTGAAATTTAAAAATTGACTATTTTTTGGGCCGAGTAGTTTATATATCCAATGTGTTACTAATCAGACAAATCCACTCAGCAATTCCTGCGCTGTTTTGAACATACATCGCTTTCCAGATTCACCTGATCTCCCAGACCCGAAATGCAACTCCGGATTGCAAGCTGACCCGAATCCGCTTTTGCCCACTTTAAAAGCCGAAACCAAGCATCTAGGGCTTTCCATAACCATTTATATTTCGTGTCAACAAAGAAAAAGACGAAGCATTGTTTACTCGTCTATTTCCAAATGGCAACCAGATTGGCAATTAGCCGACTCGGAATTACTCGCTCCATGGAGTCAACTCGCGGAGCAACTCGCTACTTCAGCGACGGCAAGGGCCGTGTCTTGAGCGAAGAGGAACGTGCTGCTGAGAACGTCTACATCCAGGTTTCTTTTCTTCTTCTCTTCTTCCTCTAAAGTGATTATAGTGATTCATTCAAATTATTTGATGATTTTTGAACTTTTCTGCAAAGAAAATGGAGAGGGAGAGGTTGGAAAAGCTGAAACAGAAGGCTGAGAAAGAGAAGGCAGCCAAAGAGAAGGAGAGTGCTGAAAAGGTACGAACTGATTTCTGTTAATTCATTGTTCTAAATTTCTCTTGCACTAGTAGGCTTTGTTTCAACTGTATTAAAAAAATACAGAGTTTCTAAAGAGGAATCTTTCTACTTTAATAACTCTTAAAACATAGCCAATCCTGTAGATAAGAATATTGACTTTATCAGCATCTAACGAATTTTGATAGACCCTCAAGATTGAGAATTAGTTGATTGAGTTAATCTCTCAATTGTTATGTGCATCTTTGCGCATTCTTTCGGGCAGAAAATGTTGCCATTGAAGTTTTTGAGCTATTCTGACTTTCTGTTTTTCCCTTCTTGAATTAAAAAGCCATCTGGCAAACTAAATACTATTGTAAGTAATTTGCTGCAATCCTTCATTTGGACTGACATGCTTCTTTAGTGTTTTCTTTTTCGTGGTTTATAATATGAGCAAGTGGGTAGCTAAGGATTTGTAATTAAACATGCATCAATAGGTTCTACATTATTGATATTGAAAAAATTTTCATCTTAGAAAATTTTGAAGTAACCATTTTATATGGACTTTTTTCCTAAGAAAAATCTTTTTTTTTTTTTTTTGGTTCTTATTTCATACAGTTAAGTGATTGCTGCTCTAAAATATATTTGAGCCTCTCTTTTTTGAAAATGGGTATCAATACTTAATGTTTCAAGTCAATGTTCCTTGTTGCCGAAGCATTTGAAGTCCAAGTTGATTGTAGGTCCTAATTGATTGCCTTATATGTTAGTTCAGCAGTTGGTTATTGGTGTCGTAGGATTACTATTCTTGTCATGTAAGTTTGACTTCTGATGTTGAGTGGAAGTTGGTCAAACAAGGATGTCTATGTAGTGAATATATCTGCTGTCTTCTTTTTTTGTTTGTTTGACACATTATTCGTTTGTGCACCTGAAGCCATTTTACTAAATATGGGGAAAAGTTCAGCTCTAGGTGATTAAATTTTGCGATTCAGCTCCGTGGTTTGGCACTTCAGTTCTGTTGCTTAACTGTTTTCTCTTTCAACAGAAAACTGAAGATAAGCCATAAGTGTTGAATTCATCATCTACACTTGGCAAGGACCATCTTGATGTGGAAACAATCATTCAGAAATAAATGTGACTTCAAGTCTTGTGAAATATGATCTTGTATAGTGTTGATCTTGCTAATGTCTCAGGAACTGTGATAAACATAACCTTTTTGTATGCGGTTGTTTTTCTTCTAAACTGATGTTTCTCTAATCGTTTAATCATCTGAGACTCATAGTTCATGCTTGCACCTTTTGCATTTTTGTTGGTGTTGTGAATTATCTGCCATTTCTCATGCTTACTTATTGGCCGTTCTTGTTATTTGGTCTTCCACATTGAAGATATTTAAATTTAAATGTGAATTTTTTGCATACACCGGTTGTATGGGTGGTCTAAGTGGATGGTCAGAAATACTTTCGTTACAACTAAAATCTTGTTTTTGATTGATTTGATGTATGAGGTGGGCTCATACACTGAATGTAGGTAATTGCTTCCCTTATTTTATAAGGCAGGACTAATGAAGGAGTTTATTGGTAACAAACTCAATTAGGTTTTATGTAATTTGCTAATTTGGCTTACAGCTTTTTGATTTTGTTGAATTTATGTAGTTAATATTTTTATTGCAGGATTTAAATATTTTTTTATAATTTCAAACGTGTTAGGTAATGGAAATGAAATAGGGATGGAAGTGGGCCATATTTTAAGGTACTTCCGTTTCAATCCGTTTAGTAAAGATACAAGTAGTTATTAGGGATAGGGTACAAGCATAGGTCTCTGAGTACCGTTTTGTATTACCTGCCATATTAAATGAGTTTGGTTATTTGGTACTTGCCGATATTTTTTCCATTATTAGTAATAAATGATTTCACTCGTGGGTAGCCACGTATATTTTATCCATTATTAGTAAACAATGTACATAAAATAAGTTCAAGTTTGGATATGAGCAGGTACCCGCTTCCATCTTTAGACATGAACGCTGCTTGTGGAAAGTCTATGGGCCTACCTGCATTTGGTTATCTAGCACTTTATTGAGTTCTAATTTAGTTATTTATTATTTTAGCGAATTTTACTCTCTTTTTTTTTTTTTTTTGGAAAGTTCCTTATGTGCTCCTACCTGCCAATTTGGTTATTCTAGCCAACTTTATTGAGTTCTAATTTAGTTATTTATTATTTTTAGCGAATTTTTACTCTCTTTTTTTTTTTTTTTTTGGTTGCAATAGCATTCTAATGTTACAATTATGGTCTTTTTTTTTTTTTTTTGGTTGCAATAGCATTCTAAGTTACAATTAAGGTCTAAATTGCAAATAAAAGGTTATTGAAAGCAGTCTCATTCTAACCTTCGGGTAGCTTTATTCAAGATCCAATAATCATTTCATACGGGGAGTTTTGGGGCAAAAAATCACCGTTCTAATCTTTTGGAGCAAACATTCCAAATTTTTAGGAACGGCAATGGTTAAGGTTTGGGGCAGGCAGCGCGATATGATCGATTTGGGTGTACTCACAGATATTGTCTATTCGTAGGTGCCCAATTGATACCCATTTAGAAATTAAAATTACATTTAATCGAAAAATAAAAACATTTGTTCAATACGTGATTAAATATAAAAATGGCATAAGTGTTAAATAAGTTAATGCTAGAGCATCTGCTTTAAATTTTAGTTGTATAGCTTTTTTCTAATAATCATCCATGAAGGTTAAGTATAGACTTCTAATAACAACAATAAATTGAAGACCAACTCAAAAAGCTCTGTTGATGGTGGTAAAAATATGATGCCCAAATGAGAAGTCCAAATTAGCACAGCTTGAAAAAGTCCACGATATAATTGCAAAAGTCTCAAGAAGATTACTTGGGCTTGAAATCTATAATTGTAAATATTACATATAATCGAAAGTTATTCTGTGAATTTGGAGAATAAGATAAGATAGAGAGAGACATTGGTTTTTTTAAGGTAAATTGAGGGTTGGAAATCCATTTAACCACTCCAATCTTTAACCTATTGAATTGGAATATAAGTATGGATTAAAAAATTTGATTTTCGAAATTTTCCATGGCTATATTTAAAAATTCAATATTGCGCTTGCGTTCTATTTAAATAGTTATTCTTTGAATTTTTTTTTTTTAATTTCTCTTCCATACGTCGTTCTGCAAGTTGATTACAAACTAAATTGACATGGGAAATTGTCAAATTTTTATTCCTATAATTATGATACGGAATATTATAATTTTTATTTATTTTTTATATTGTTGATTGAAATCAAAATTACTTCAAGAATTATTTTTACAAGAATGAACAAGTATGTTATCAATTAAAGTAATTGATAATTTCAATAGTTGTAAGTATTAAAACCAAAATAAAAAATCTTAAATATTTAATCACGTTTTACAATAATTAATATTTAAATAATTTATATTATTATGAAAATGCATTTTATCATCATATTTTAATTTTCAATAAAATTTTTTATTAATGTCGTTAAAATATGATTTGGAAAGAAATATTTTAATATGCATAAGTTATTAGTTTTTGGAAAAAAAAAAAAAATCTTTCATGACAAAGGTATTTTGGTAATCTTTATATTTAACTTTACATGTACATCAAGCCAAACAAAATAATATTATTAAATCTTTATGTCGTACCTTCTCCTCTAATACAAAAAAAAAAAAAAAAAAAAAAAAAAAAAAAAACATAAATAAATATTAAATCTTTATGTCGTAATCCTTCTCCTTCTTAATACAAAAAAAAAATAAAATAAAAAAAAAAAAAAACATTATCATAATTTTTCCTACTCATTATTTAAAAAAAAAAAAAAAAAAAAAAAAAAAAAACATTTATCATAATTTTTCCTACCATATTTTACTATATCTTATTTTAATGATCCCTTCCTCACTTCATCTAGACAAAGCATAATGGGTTTTTGTATAGATTTTTTAGAAGGTACATATTGCTTGGAGGACACACTTAGGACTCCTATGCATAGGAGAAACAATATCGTAATACACACGCGAATTTATTCAAACAAATCAAATTACTTTGTACATTCAAGTGACCATTAACTCCCTTTCTTTTCTAACCTCACAATTTGTTATATCTATCTCTTGTCCCTCCCTTGCTTTTTCCCTTTTGAACTCTTATTCTCACCCTTTCTTTATTAGACTAATAGGCTCCGACCAATTAATTTACTCTATTCGAAGGCATTTTTGATAGACGTAAGCTCGACGAACCCTAACTTTAATTTTAGGCTAAACAACTTCTTTAGCATGCTTGGCGGGACGTTCGAGGATTTTTTGTGTTAAAATGTTATGATGCTAATATGAAATCAATAGATAATTTCGTATATCCAAGCTCGGACAATTTCATACGCCTAGTCAAAGGCTCAACCTTTGGAATAGATTAATTTGTCTATCAAACAATTTATGTTGAGATATTCGAAAGAGCCTTGCGAGCGGTAGTGGAAGAAACACGAGCGACCAACACGGACATACAAGATATTATGATGAACCTACGTGATAGTATTGATCGTTTAAGGACTACCGTAGTAGAATGAACAAGTTGTGATGACTTGGTCAATATTGACTTAGAAATTACTATCCCTGATTGTTTTGCAAGCAATTGATCTAAAGATCCAGCCTATACTTAGGGCCATGATCAATCTTAGGACCAAGAACAATGACTCAATAGAAATTGAGCACTGAGTACTCAGAAATGCAACGGTCAAAATTCAAAGTCTATGAAGACTTAGACCTTGAGGAATCCAACTATTCGCAAACAATCGCAAATAATCAACTTTGTCGAAAGCCCTAGCTTACCCTAAGGAGATGAGGATGTTCATGATCGACCAAAGCTAAAACGGATGGTCACTTAAGCCATCAAGATGGCTTCTTGTTGACCAACGACAATTTGGCTAAATAATGACTTTAGCAATTCGCCTAGATAATGTTATTGTCATGTTGACTCAATTTATGCTTAAGTGAAAATAGTTAAGGATGCCGAATTATTAATAAAATAATTTGGTATGATAATGTTCGACCTCAATTTACATTTGGGGATGGTATCGTGGAAGGCCTCTAGATTAGAAATATTGTATTTAGTCGATCCATGAAAAGGGGCTTTTGACCAGCTTAAATTCAAAAGATGCAATAACTGACTTAGACAGAAAGGACATATCTAAATGAAATCAGTCATAGTATCGATAAACATACTATTTAGGCCTTGTTTGGTTGGGGCTAATTTAGCTTAGGAACTTGAAGTTCCTGGGAAGTAAGGAATGTAATCTTATTTGGTTCCCAAAGATGTAGAAGTTCCGGAGAACTTGAAACCCTTACTTCCTTGATCGTATGAGAAGTAAGTTTCTCAACCCAAGGAAAATACACTTCTTAACCTGTAGAAATTAGGAAAATTCAATTTTGCCCTTGCTTTTAAGGAGACTAATATTTCTCCTTTCTTTATCTTTTACCCTTTCCAAGTGCCAACAAGGCTCCTTTCTTAATATTAACTAGCTACATGCTTGTGCTATGCATAAATAATTTAATAAATATTAGTTTTTTAATATTTAAATTTAAATTTTTTATATCTCATTTTTTATTAAAATATTTTTTATTTATATAATAATTAAATATTTAGTTTTTTAATTATTAAACTTTAATATTTTTTTAATATACTCATTTTATTTAAAATATTTTTATTTAATAAATTACTTTGTAGATATTAATTAATTCTGACATTTGCATATTAAAATTTAATTTTATGCTTTTTATTAAAATATTTTTTATTTATATAATATACTTGTAGATAAATAATTTTGACATTTGCAATATTTAAATTTAATTTAGCAAATATATTTAGAAATTTTGTAAATTGTAATTATGATATCAAACCATTTAAAAAAAATATATGATAGAAATGTTACAAAATAAAATATTATATATAATTTTATTTATTTATGTTGTCAAATAAAATTTATGATCTTGAAATGGTTATTTCAATTAACGGAGAAATTTTTATTGTGCTCATTATTTATTTAGTCAAGTGAGCCTCCACCCGAAGGGGCCACTGAGTAGATAGGTGGTATTTTGTAATAGTGTAGGGATATCCTTTAACATTTTGAAGTATCAATGAAAAACAATATTTCCTTTTAAGTATAATCTTATATCACTCGCTTGCTTTAAGTTTTAAGGTGATTAACTCCTAGTTTTGGGATTTTTCAAACTTTATTTTACTTAGGCCAAGCTTGTTAATTTGCACCATTAGTAATAAAACT